TTGGTTTTTTTTTTTTTTTTTTTTTTTTTTTTTTTTTTTTTTTTAAGGCAGATCAATGAACTGAGTGAAGTGGGAGGGCTTCTGCCATCCATGACATCCTGTCATTACTTTTAGAGCACTGTGTCCCCGTCCCAGCCAGGCACAAATGTCTCTTTGCTGTGGCACTTCTCTGTTGCCTCATTTCATTTTTTTTCCCTGAGGTTCACTTTCTCCCCATGGCTGTCTTGTTCATTTCTGGTCATCTTTGGCTGCATCCCAGCCCCCAGAGGATGGTCCCCACACTGCTGCAGCCCAACACGCCTTGTTAGGCTTTACAAACTAAACCCATCAAAGCTTCGGTGGCTTCTCGCAAGTACAGCGTTGTCTTCCTGAGCCTCTGGATTAAGAAAATAACACTGCTGTCAGAGTGAAGAGCTGCATGTCTCAGTGTATTCTAGATGCTGATTCCAAAGGGAAGAGGTTTAAACAGGATTTAGGGAGGTGTGTCTGATTTTGGTGATTGTTGTGGCGGAAGCTTCAGTGCAGGATGTGCCCTATGCTCAGCCCTGCGCTGATGGAGCACCAGAGGTCTGAGATGGCCTTAGCATGGGCAGTTCTTGGCTCCTGAAATCTGTTGGTATCCAAAAGTCTTCAGCATATCAAAGATGGAGGGAGGGGCGAGAAGTGAATATCCATGCACAGCTGAGTGGCCCAAGAGCCAGGCAGCTTGTGTCAGAACACGGGGGAGTGATGAGGCTCTTTGGCACAGTTGGGTGGCTGCAAGGCATAGAGCTGCCCTGGGGTTATGTCTGACCCCCTGAGTTCACTCACTTTTGTGTTAAGCACAGCAGTACGTAGGCACAAGGCGCTTAACCCAGAAGCAGCTCCAAGCTGACGTGGGCACGTGCAGGCCTGAGAGCTCGGCGGCGTTCATGCTGATCTCTAGGAGATAAATTGACCATTACATGAAGTTTGCATGTCTGAAGTACTGGTCTCTGTGTTAACCAACATACCTGAAGTGAAACCCACATTCAGGAGACTGCCAACAGAGTGACGGCCATACTTCCCATTGGGTTCTGCAGGCAGAAAGCAGAGTGGGGCCTCTTGCAGTCTGACTTTGTGCTGTGCTCTGTTAGCGCTTCTCTTTTTATTTTATGACAATCTAAATACACCGTCTTCAAATGAAGGTGCCTATGCCTCCAGGTTTCTTTTTTTCTACGTGTATTTTGAAATAGATAGCTCTTTCCTTTCTGGTCATTCAGTTACCTAATAACGGCACAGACAAGAAAGGCACATGAGAAAAATCAATCCACTAGTGTATTTTTTGTGTGGTATTTGGGGGTTTACGTGTTTGTTTGTTTGTTTTTAACACTGGTCAGCAATAATTATTTTAGCCATATACTAGCTAAAAAAAGACCAATAAAGCAGGATTTGTGAGCTAAGCTTCTCCATTTGCAGTGTGCTGCCCAACCTGGGCATGTGAAAGGGAGCTGTGCTCAGTAGGAGTGTTTTGCAGCATTTTGTTGTTTTCCTTCCCTGGCCTGATAGTGATCACGAGCATAATATTCTGTAAAACTCATCATGAATGGTGAACAAAGCACATTGTTTTTAACAGAAATATATCCCTTTGTCATTGAAAGTTCTTAGTGTGATCTGCGATACCAAAATATTTAGATTATTATGAGACTTTAGTACTGAAGATATCCATGCTCCCTGTTTTAACTGTTTCAAGTGAA